CCCGGGGGCGTCTCCGCCCCCCCGGACCCCCAGGCCAGGGGGCGCGTCGCCCCCCTGGACCCCCCGACTCGCTGACCGGTCAGCGAGACCCCCGTCCTTTCTGTTTGTAGCGGGTCCGATTCAAGGCATTCAACAAAAAGGGAATTTCTAACAAAACATGATTACGTTTAAAGAAGTAAACAAGGTTTAGAATCGATATTGTTCAAATTTTAAGAGAAATCGAACTCTCGAAACAACAAGATAATGTAGAGAATTTCTAAGATGTAACACATGCGCCTAAACTTGAATGACACTTAGCAATAGAGAACAAACAAAATTAGGCTAATGTCTAATGAAATCGTGTTGCAGAATTTTTGACCAAAATTAGCCATTCTATAAATCAATTCACCAAAATAATATGTTTTTAATTTTTTTACAAAACTAGTATAAACGTGGTTCACAGTAACGTTTTATACTTTATTTATTTTAAAATTTTTTATTTTATTTTAAAAAATTTAATGAGAAAAGGGACGGACTGCTAACGACGTTAAATAATAATACGTAACTGGAAATTACTTTTTAACTCTAATACGTTATTGGAAGAACGTTTTAAGCATATATCATTTACTCTTGCACTAGAACAAAAAAAATACCCAATTTAGTTATATTAAAATTGGGGAAGAAAACCCTCCAAGTAAACCCACTTCATTCTCCAAACCTACCTTCAAGTTACAGGGGATAAAATTAAGAAGAGAACTCACATCAAGTCTCGCTTCAAAGGCACAATGAAGTTGATGAATGCTGTATCTGAAGAGTGCACGAATTTGGAAGACCAATTCATCTTCTTGCTCTTCCATTGATGCTTAATCTTTACTCGATTTGAAATTGTTTTGCTCTATACAAGAGATTTGAGAGTGTTGATCGAGTATTGTAGTTTAAACACACTGCAAAAGATTGGAGGTGAAATTTCAAAACTTTGAAAACGTCTGTAGATTTGCTTTAAAAAGGTAAAAAAACTTTGATAAAGAAGAGTTCTTTTTGTGATTCAGGTAATTTTGTCATACATTGATTGATTTAGTTTATCTTATAGTTGATGAATTTGTTATTTTTCTTTTTGTTAGAAAATGACATTTTAGTTTTGTTTTTCCTCTTTTTATGATAACTAACAAAATATTAGTGGTAGCAACAGTTTACTGCTTCCTTGTGCTCATGTGAAGTTGATTGTTTCAATGTCTTTTTGGGCTGCCTGTTGTTCTTTAGAGTGTCATTTGTAGCTATCCTTTAAAAAGTTTCAGAAAAAAATTTCGCTGGTGTATAGTGTCTACAAATTTATTGTCTAAGAAGTGAACTTTCTCCTAAGATAAAAAATAGTGAATAGTTTAGACCCCCACTTGTGGGATTACACGAGGTATATTGTTGTTTTTCTAGCAGCAACATATATAGCGCTAACCTCAAACTTCTGTCAACTTCAAACTTTGATATTTTTCAGCTTATAAGACATGGTGCTGCATTATGAACTCTTATAAAGTTGTACTTCTTTTTTTTTTCTGTTTTTTTGTCTCACTATCTCATTAAAAGAAGAAATCTCTCCCCTTTTCTTCCGCCTGGCTCTTGGTGGACCCTTTTATTTTGTTTTTCGAAATACCCAGATTGAAAATCCAATGAGCTGATGGTACCTCCAACATTGTGATCCATATGCATCCCTAGGTCCTTGACAAATTTTTCCATGGGATTTAACAGAAGTGTCTAATTCTATTTCTTCTTGAGTAAAACTAGAAAAAATGTGATTAAGGAAGATAGACAAAGTAATGCTCCATTCAGTTTTAATGCAAAATGATACGTGTGGGAGGAAGCTCTTTCAGAATCCAAAATTAGAGTTGATATCCAAACGTCCTCCAGGACCTAGAATAGCCTGTCTGTATCTACAATAACCAGCTGTAGCATTTCCCTAACAAATCATTGAAAAGTTAGCACACTCAAGATTTCAAGTAAACGAAAATTATGAAGACATTTAACTAACCAGCAAATGATTCTTGACTTGCAGAATAGAACCAAAAGTAGAGCAAATGAAAAATTTATGTTCACCTGATCAATTATAGGGAGATATCCACCAACATCAGGTAGAATGGTACCATTAGGAAGTATTCCACCTTCACCTCCCACGTCAACAACAATATCGTCACGTCCTATCATGTAAAGCATATCATACACTTGATTTACAACATGTCCTGCATCATTCCATCCATGTGTGCTAATAGTTATTGCCTGCATAAAAAAAATAACTCTCAATATACGAAAATACATCTCTTCAAAGTTATATTACATTTCATGACATGCTTTGAACAAAAAAAAAGAAGGCAAACCTTTAAGTCCATTTGTGATGTGTTAAGTTTCAAAAGGTATAAAAGAGCAAAGAAATCATCAGTATCCATATCTGTATCGACAAGAATTCGATGACCCTTTACTCCATTTTACCAACAATATTAACACCATTGTTAGCATTGCAACAAGTTCATTTAGCAACAACATCTTCTCTTTCTCCTTCATCACAACTTTGCTTCTGATTTTCTTCAAACTATTAGTTATTAATAGGAATAAACAGAAAGGGCTGTAAATTAACAGAAGGAATGTTTAAGGGATTTTATAGACACAATAAATTCTTTTATATAATATTAGTATCAATTTAAATGATCAATGGGGTACAAAGTAACACTTTGCTCAACAAAGTACAAATTTTGTCTGGGATATATAAATTTGAATTCGCGCCGAAAAGTTAAAAGTGATCCCTACTTTGTTTTAGGGCTCTTCAAATCTTTCTTTTTTAAATTTTTACGCCTATTTTTGCTAAAAGAAATTGTAGGCCAAAGTATTCTTATTGATGACCTAATTTTGTGTGATATCTAAGTTTAGAGAATTTTTACTGTATAGGTTTGGTGAGAATAAAAATATGTCTCTTACAACATTATTATTGGTTTTAAAACTGAATTTATGTATCTATTGACATAAGTTTTCAGGAATTAAGTTATGTCTTTTTACTGTATAACTTGGTGAATTATGAATCAAACATATGACTCTATTAGCAAAGTTTTTTAAGAATTAAGTTACATAACTTGTAATTACATATGATACAAAATAGGGAAAATACCCAAGTACCCCCTCAACCTATGCCTGAAATCCTAGAGACACACTTATACTATAGTAAGGTCCTATTACCTCCTGAACTTATTTTATATGTAATTTCTACCCTTTTTAGCCTACGTGGCACTAGTTTGAAAAAAAAGTCAACCATCGTTGGGCCCACAAGATAGTGCCACGCAAGTTAAAAAGGGGTAAAAAGTTACTAATAAAATAAGTTCAGGGGGGTAATAGGACCTTAGTATGGTATAAGTGTGTCTCTGAGATTTCGGACATAGGTTGAGGGGGTATTTGGGCATTATCCCTACAAAATATAAATTTATGCTGTAATTTTTTTCAATGATAGAGATATTTTCGGTACTTTAGCTCTTAGTATATATTTTCTTGTGTTTTTTTGTATCCTCTGACATCCTAGATGTATTATGTCATGTAGGATACGTGTGTCTACTTGTTCAATTTTATAATATTTTAAGTACTTACTTGTGCACATTCAAAGTTGGAGGACATAGTTATTCGTTAGCGCCAAGTTAATGGTCGTATTATGCCTATCTTTTTATCTTAGGATGTACCAGAGATAAATGGTGAGTAATCTTTAGGATTTTCGATCACAAATGCTAAAAGATTCTAGCAATTCATCAAAATTTGTGGTCAAAATTGTAATGATCACCATAACTTGGTATCAAGATAAGTCTTGTGACTGAAGTTTACTAATGATTTGAATGTTGTATTGTTAACAGAAAGTGTTGCCCAATATAAAATACAACATTCAGGTGGTCCACTGTTGGAATTTCTGTGACATGATTCTCATTTCGGAAAAAAAATGATACCTCACTCATTTAAGCCTTTTAGACATTGAGCTCACATATATGATAAGAAATTATATGTACTTGAAACTATATTTGAATGAAGATATTCAATTTTTTCAATAGTTGCGAGTTGCGACTCTTATAGTAAAGCTTATATTTTAATTGATATGATTGAAAATTTTGTCGATGAAGTATGTGAGGAAAGCTTCTAAGTTACGTTGTATTCTTACTTCTGTATATGTATTTATTTTATGGTTGCTGATAATGCATACCAATTGGATCCCGGTCCACTTGATCCGTCTGTATTAACTGGACAACTCACTCATAGGTCACGAGATATATGGATAGGGAATGATAATATGATTTTGAACACAAGGAAATGTGATGGGAAGTTTTGGGACCAAGTAAATGAACATCCCATTCATCCACGAGTCCTAGATGTGATTAAACTATCTGGATTATATGGTGTTTATAGGTCTCATAGGCCTGTTATTAATCGTAGCTTAATCACTGCACTAGTTGAGAGATGGCGGCCTGAGACTCATACATTTCACTTTAGGACGGGTGAGAGTACGATCACTTTACAGGACGTGGAGATATTGTATGGCTTACCCGTGAAAGGTAATCCGGTAGTTGGGTATGAGCCACAGATGTCTGTTGTGGATTGACAAAATATTTGTCAAAGATTATTAGGTTTTAGTCCAAAACCTTAAGACTTTAAACATAGTAGTCTCCAGGTCTCTGGATTTATGGATATGATTTCTCCAGTTAGCAAAGTCACATATAGCTATAGAGAAGGTAGCGTGGTGGTTCCATTATCCGCGGAATTTGAACAATATGACCATTGATCCCTTGGGTAGTTGGTTATTAAAGAAGTTAGATATTAGCTTAGTAATTGTTGGAGCATAAATGATTTCTTCCAAACTATAGCTAGAATCTAGATTGTTGAGTACTGTTTTTCTTGTTCCAATATTTTCCCTTTAGGTGGATGTATTCGTATATGGACTTTTCATTTTTATTCGAGTCATGTTCAAAAACATCTTAGATATTTGATTTTCTGTCAAATTTTATTCGATGGACTGAATGGGTTAATTTTAAATTTTGGACAGGTGCGTCATATTCATTTGATGGTTTTAATAAAGCAATATCACTCGGTGAAAATCCAGCAATGGAGGATTTTTACGGGTTTCGTGCAATGGTGCGGGATGAAGGATCTAATTGTTTGGCATATGTGCAAGAGGCAGATAGGATTCATGTTCAAGCAAATTATAGAAGAGAGGAGCTAATGTCTGACCATTTGCATCCTCCTATTCGTCGGCGAGGAAAATGTGGTGTTGCGGGTAGGAAGGTACGTGCTGTTGAGAGAGGTCGAGCACCTATTGAAATGGGTGAAGATGATCAAACCACACAAGATTCCCAAGCAGTCTCAAATTATGAACCAACATTGAGATTGTGACGTACATGACACCACAGACTCCACAAATATTAAGGAACCCAAGTCTTTCAACACTTGGAAATGTATTTGGTAGTAATCAACCTCAACATTTTGACAACGCCCCAAACTTTGTGGATGGTGATGAGTTGGAGAATGCAAATCAAGGTGCAAGCCAAGGTGGTGAACCATCGGTGAAGAAAAAGCGTACAATCATTCCTTAGCTTTGTGGGACTGGTATGTTAAAATCTTCAAATTATTCTTTGAATAAGTGTTCCTTTTTAGTTGAATAACTGAAAAATTGTTCCTACTTTTACGGAGTCATTATCTTAATCAGCACGGCCAAAAGAACAAAATAAAAGTTTCTGTATTGACAAAGAAAAAAGGCTAAGGATGAATCATGTGGTTCCAAGTGAGTTCTAATCAACATGAAGAAATTTTTTTTGTAATTTTTCTCTTGAGATGCATTACTTTACTTTCAGAATGGTGTATAGCTTCAATTTTTAATAATTTGAAATTCATATTGCAGATTGATATAGGAAGAAAAAGAAGATAACTTGGAGCTCATTTTTCACTCTTTTTGCCGATTGAAAAAGTTCTGCTCATTTTTGTTCTTCTTATGTAAAAATTAAGTCTAGTTTTTTGAAACTCCAGCAAGAAACTCCATTTTTGTGGTTAATATTTTTTCACTTAACTTTGTATGGTGTCAAGTATTTTATTATGTGTAATTTTATGTATTTTGTACTGCTGACCATGTTTGAGGTTGACATATTAACTAATACCAAATAGATGCAGTTGACTATTAATCAAGAAATTTGGTTACATGTATATGTTGCATTTGATGGTGTTTGAATATTTCTTTAAATTGATTATTGAAGTTTATGGTTGCAAGTTATTTAAAAGTTGGCTTCAGTTGCAGAAACTTGATTGTTATAATTGGGCGCATTTCTATGGGGAGCTTGAAGAGCAAAGTGAATATTATTTGGTGCATTGACATAATGAGCAGTAGAAGGAAGAGAGAGCATGGATAACTGACTTGTATAATTGTTGATATTAGAAGTAGAAGATGCACTTCCATCAGAAATACTACTAGTGTTGTTGAAAGCTATGGTAAAAATAAGTCATCTTTTTAAGTAATAAATAAGAAAATATTTGAAAGCTATGGTAAAATTAATAACACAATATGATATATTGACTTGACTTATTTAATTCATACCTTTGTAAATATTGTTTCAAAATTGAGCTACACAAACAAAATTTTGAATGAATACTGTTGGAGTGTATATAACATTTGTTTCAACAAGGTTCATTTTATAACCATTTTCGTCAGTAAAAAAAAAATGAAAAAATTGACTTTAACATAGTGTCGTAAGTGATAGTCACAATTTAATGTAGAAACGTGATCAGCGGTAACGTTTTATGATCTGTAAGAATCCAATGTAGCAGGATTTTATTCTTAATTCGATGCCCCGTGATTAAATTTACATAAAACGTGATTGACCGTTACGTTTTATATAAGAAACGTGATTATCAGTTACATTTTATAATCTGTAAAATACAGGATTCGATTCTTTAATTGAAGAGCCCGTGATTGGATAAAATGTGTCTATTGTACTAAAATATAAAACGTTACTTTTGAAAAACGTTTTAGCTCTAAAATGTGATTCGAGATAACGAAGTATAAAACGTTATTGTCAATAACGTTTTATTTCTATTTGCTCCGTGAACTTTTGCTTTATTTTCCATTAATTTTTTTAAAATAAAAAAAGCATAAAATGTTATTGTGAACCACGTTTATACTAGTTTTATAAAAAAATTTTTTTTAAAAAAACTATTTTGGTACATTGATTTATAGAATGACTTATTTTGGTAAAAAATTCCAGAACTTGAAAGCAGCAATATGACATGTCTTATGCTTTTCTTAGCCGATTCTAACTCGAGTTTACATTAAGGATATGAGCAGCTGAAATACAAGAGAAACGCAGCCAGCATTCGAGTTATGTGAGGACATAAACAAATTGTAAGAGTATAGGCTAATAAGAGAGTTCAAAATAACAGACCGACAGGATTCAAACAAAGAGTGATGAAACAGAGCTACATAATTAGCACACTCAAAGTGGAGATCAAGTGAATGTCAAACCATTGCAGGCAAAGCAAGGCAGATATTTGGTTAGTTATAGGGATACAAAATCAAGTTAATGAGTATAATGACCAATATATAACATTCAAACAACTCCACTAATGTTTGACTCACGCTTACTGCCCGGAGACTTATGAGAAAATGAGATTAAAGCAAACACTAAAACAGGAAAACCAAATACTCGTAATAACAGACTCTATACCAAGTGTTGAACACATAACAACCACATCGAAAAAAATGTAAGAGGAAAACGAAATTGCCTTTCTGGGGGGCAGCAAACTAAAGCTTAGACGTTAAGGATTCTGACTTCAAACTTCCTCAAACTCGAATTCAAATTCAAAAATAGGAGGACAAGAAGATGCAATTTTTATACTCAAAGCAATGAAGTGTTGCAGTTCATTAAAATGTTCTTCTCAATCGTTGTTCGTTTTTTCTTATATATAAAGAAGCACAATCCATGTGCTCACATATGTGACATACACGGATTGGCCGGTTAAAGGAGATATGGATTGCCAAAATTTCTCAAATTAAAACCATTTAAATTATAACATCTTCTTTATTAAATAATCATATTTATTAAATTAAAAATGATTATTTTGCAAGATTATCTAATTTGATAAAATTAGTCACTCCTAAAATTAAATTAATATAATTTAATAGCTTATTATTTAATTAAGATTTTAAATTTGAAACAAATGTATGAAAAATATTTATTAAGAATGACATTTATTTTTTTGAAAAATGAGAAAGTAAGTAGTAATATATATATATACTAGTTAATTAACTCGCGCTTCGCGCGGTCATAAAAAACATTGCATTGAACTTGCAAATAATATTTTACTATTATTCATACATTAAAAATAATGAAATATAGCTTTTAAAAATATTAGTAAAATCTCAAAATTAATTTGATTATTTGTCATCATCACGTAACTCAATAATATCTAATGAATGAGTTATTCACGAAATAATAAATCATTAGTTCTTTAATCAACATTAGAAGAAAAAGAAAGAAGAAAATAAGAATATATATATATATATATGCACACACACACACACACACACACACAAAGGCATTCCGTTGAAAAGTGATATAAAATATTTATCAAATTGATGTAGTAGTATTTATAAGGAGATCAAATCCAAATCAATCTAGTTTGAGAAATACGCCACAAATGGTCCTCGAATCATGAATATCTTATGAGAGATGAATCAATAGATAAATATCTTATGAGATTTGAATCAAGGGAAAAACAGAATTGTACCAGCACTATGTTTATCAATAAAATTATATTTCTTCATATTTTCTTGTGATTGCAATTTATTTTCTATCACCTTAAACTTTGTTGCAAACAAATTGGCACGCCATGTGTGACCAAATTTATCCTTCATCTTTTTTCTCACAGATCAAATATGCAAATATGATGTTACAAAACCGCAATGGAATAATGAGTACTTCAAGCCTCATCATTGAGTTTCAACAAGTCTACACTCCGACAAGACTTGAAGCAGGGGCAGTTGTAGACTTTGAAATTTTGTGGGACTTTACACGACGTGTTTAATTCGAGTTGAGACTCTACAATGTGTTCAATTTCAACTAAAATTCTTGGAGGCTACTCAAAACACTAGTTCATGGCCTATATAAATAGTATTCTATTCCTTTGAAAAACATCTTGAATATTCTACAAATTCATGAGATATTCATAAGGAGATCAAATTCAAATCATCCTAATTTGAGAAATACGCTACAAATGACCCTCAAATCATGAATAAATATCTTATAAGAGAAGAATCAATGAATAAATATCTTGGAAAAAGACATAAATTCCCCCCTAAACTTGTTACGAAAAGTCAGTTACATGCTTATACTATTGTGATGAACTATTACACACCTAAATTACTTAAAAATGAATTTCTTTCAACCTTGACGCACATAGACCAGTCACATGATGAGAAAGTGTTTCACACTCGCGCCACGTGATCATTATGTCACTACCACATCAATAATTACATCAGATTTTTGAAAAAAAAATCCATGTCACCCAATTTCTTCTTCTTTCCTATACACCATCAAGCCAACCATTAAATTACTACCATTGTTGCTATTATCATCAAATTCACTTCTCCACCATCATCGATTTTCACCACCCATAATCAAATTCACCACTGAAATCTTCGCACAACCATTGTCATCATAAAAAATCGATAACAAATATCATAAATTTAACTAATTAACCATCAAAACCATATCAGTATCATTGAAATTCATCATAACCATAATCATAAATTCACCATCCACATCAAAATCACGATTTTCATTGTCAATTTCGAAATTAAAAGTCATACCACCACAAATTTTTCACCCATCACCAAACCCACCAAAAAAAGTTATCACAATACACAAATTTCATTCAAGCTCAAAGAGGAGAATTGTGAAAATTTGTAATTTTTTAATTGTAAAGATCTTAGTTAGAAAATTGAAAATTAGTGTTCGATTTACTATTACTAATTTTTGGAAATAAATCTAGAGAGGATCTTCTAAGAGAGAAGAAGGATATATGAACATACATTAAAAAATTGAATTTCATGCAAAAACCCAAAAACTTTTACACACACAAAAAAGCAAGATCTGATTTTTTTTGAAATTTCAAATGCTCACAATCAACAAAAAGACAAAACAATAAATTGAATAATCCATTCTTGACTTGATGAATTTAATATGGAAATAGTGTTTGTGATAAGAAAAAAATTGAGCAAGAAGAAAGGTAGGGAAACATGAAGGAAAAGGCTGGGGGTGGGAAAAAAATTGCCCTTTTTTTTTAACCAAACAAGTTTTTATTTTAATTTTTATATAATTTTATTTCCATGTCAGCTTCGACTGTGGTATTGAATTCACTTTTGAGTAGTATAAGTGTGTAATGGGTCGCCTTAGTAGTTTAAGTTTGTAATTGACTTTTCGATACAATTTCTTGGGTGAGTTCATGTCTTTTCCCTAAATATCTTATAAGAGAAGAATCCAGGGAGGAACAAAATTGTACCCGCACTATGTTTATCAATAAAATTATGTTTCTTCATATATTATTTATTGTTATTGCAATTTATTTTCTGTCACCTTAAATTTGTTACAATCATTAAAGCTATTTTAAATTTCTATTAGAAAATATAAATCTTAAATAAATTAAAATGTAAATATATAAATTTTCAATCAATATTATATATATATATACATGCATACATACATACATAAACAGAAAATGATCAAAATTGTCCTTAATGTTTGAATTAAGAATCAAAGTGATCCTTGTATTTTAACATGCAACATTAATAGTCCTCCATGTTTCAACAATTGGTATACTTTTTATACCCTTGCAAACGGACGTCAAAAATCTAACGTTGCTTTCTCTTTTACACGTGAGAAAGGTTTCCCGCCAAAACTCACTTTTCCTTTGCCTCTGTTGAACAGACTTCTCTTCCCTTTTTTCTTCAAATCAAACCATATAATCTCGTTTTGTTCTGAATTTCATTAAAAGATTGATCCATTTTTTGAAGCAACTATGTTTTTAAGGCACAACAATGATGGAGAATCAACTCCTACATATGGCGAGAATTTTTTTTCATCTCTATATTATTGTTATTGCTTTTGAGAATTATCAGTTCTTCTGCATCACTTTCTAGTAACATTTTTTTCATGAGATGTTGTAAAAACAAAAGAAAAAAATTGATCCTACCATCAAAAACTATGGTGAATGGTTAAATTTATTTTGATCCTTAACTAGATATCTCGATAAAAAAGTTTTTTTTTTTTTTTTGTAGAATACACTTTAACCCTCTTATTGATCTGAATCTAGAGATTAGGTTAGTGAATTGTTAGATTCAAAAAAGAAATTACAAAGTATTAAGTTGTAAGAAACTCAGATAGTCTTACTATTCACAAATAGTATTAGGATCAATGGTGAAACAAAAAAAAAACACTACAGAAATCAGCCAGAGTGGCAACGGCAGTAAATTTGAGTTGTAAGAAGTAATAAGATCCTCCTGCATCTGCAAACGAACTGTCAAATTTGAATACCGGTGGAGGCTTGGAGCTAGCTATGTTAGTTATAGCACTACAAGATGGTGCACCTGGAATGGAATCTGTAGTATCATAGTTCACATAGCTAGCGCACACCAATATCACTGTGATCAGTGATGCATTCTTCAGTAGATGTACTATTTTCTGTTTATATAATTACGAGCATTAAATTTCTTTATTTTCGATGCAGCGGCATTATATTTGATTATTAAGTTGAAGCATTTTCCATAAGTTAGTTTTTCTGTATGCTTTTGTAAACTACAACACCTTATGTAATATATGCTTGTTTTTTTTATTTCAAATCCAGTACTCGAAGATTCATTTGTTAGTGTAAAGTATATCACGGGGGTGTCATGAGACGTATTCCAGACAAACATTACATAATGGCAGCATAGACTATATTGATTATGTTAGTGTGAACACGTTGAATCTTCAGGAGTTTAAAGTGATGGCGGAGATTTGCGGATATGAATCTGATTCAATAACCTTTTGGTACAAGTGTGGAAAGTATGGTCGAAGATGGAGATTGATTTCTACCTATTTATAAGCTTATGCAGTTAGCAAAAGTCTTCGAAAAGAGGATGTGAATGAGATTTACTTCGAACACTTGGACTCTTATTTTAAAATGGACAATGGGGATATACCAAATCAAGAAGTCATTGAAGATAATGACAAGGAACAATTTACACATGAAAATTCATCTGTGATGATTTTTGTAATTTAGAGGCTGATTTATCCGACGACGAGTTAGTCAATGACCATGAAAAGATAAAATAGAGTATTCTGGGTGAAATAGAGCCGATTAGTGTTGAAGTAAAGAAAAAGATGGCAGCAATAGAGGGAGATTCTGATTGTTGTGATTCTAGTGACACAAGAAGTTTGCATAGTGATTCTGAAACTGAGAGCTACGATTATCCTCAATTCAATCCTAAGAGTGATGGAGATGATCCCATTTATGCTCTAGAGTTGACTTTTGGAAGCAAAAGAGAGTTCAAGGATGCTGTAGCAACACATGAGATAAAAAAGGAAAGTATATCAAGTGGAACAAGAATGACAAAGAATTAATCAGGGCAAAATGTATACATGAAAAGTGCAAATGGAAAATTATGGCATCCAAAATGCTATGGGACAAATCATTCCAGATAAAAACATACGATCCTACACATACTTGCAAGGAGAGGCACCATGAAAATAGAACAATCACATCATCCTTCATTGCGAGAAAATACCTGAATGAAATTGGATCAAATAGAAATGATAGCTTGGCTGATTTTAGAGATAGAGTGAATGTTGATCTAAGAGCTAAAGTGACTTTATCACAAGTTAAAAGAACAAAGAATAAGGCCATTTCGATTCTAGATGGTGATATCAAAGATCAATTCAAAATGATGTGGGACTATTGCAATGAAATGGATAGGACAAATCCAGAAAGTACTATTCATATGAAGTTTACTGATAATGAGGTGCCGGGACAACCATACAGGTTTCAGAGAATATACATTTGTTTTGCTGCTTGCAAGTTCGGCTTCAAGGCTGGTTGTAGAAAAGTAATTGGAGTGGATGGTTTTTGGTTGAAGGGTCCTATGTACGGAACTCAATTGTTATCTGCAGTTGAAATTGATGGTACAATAATATATTTCCCATTTGCCACGCCATTGTTGAGAAAGAAAATAAAGAGACATGGACTTAGTTCTTGACTTATTTGGCTAGCGATTTGGATATACATGAGGATGAGGCTAGTTGGACCTTTATGTCCGACAAACAAAAAGGTCTCATTGAAGCTTTTACCATATGTTAGTCATATATTTTGTGTGTTACACCTTCATAACAACTTTAAAAGAGCAGGTCTCGGTAGGTTCTCATTAAAAGGGCACTCTGGGCTGCTGCAAAGGCTACTACTGTGCAACAATTTATTGTATGCATGAATCATATGTTTGAGTTAGATCCAAATGATGCTGTTTGGTGTAATGAAAAAGAACCTAGTCAATGGACAATGGCTTATTTCTCCTCAAATGCTCAATCTGACATGTTATCGAATAATGTGTGTGAAGTATACAATAGCATGATACTCGATACTAGAGACAAGCCAATTTTGACACTTTTGGAGAAATTGAGCTATCTACTCATGGCCAGAATGCCAGCTAACCGGGAGAAAGCAGAACAATGGAATCTAGGTGATGTTTGTCCCAAGATTGAAGATATATTGCTTAAAAATCAAAAGGCAGCCGGAGAATATATTCCTAGAAAGTCAAATAAATGGAACTATGAAATTATAGGAGCTAGTATCATGGATAATTGGGAAGTGGATTTGGAGAAGAGAACATGTAGTTGTAGAAAATGGAGTCTCACTGGAATCCCTGCAAGCACGCAATTGCAACTATTTGGGCTAATCGAGAAGACATTCTTGATCATGTCCATGATTCCTACAAGGTGGAAACATACAGAAAAATATATGAGAATGCAATTATTCCGATGAATGGCCCGCAAATATGGCCAAAATCTAACAAACTCCCCCCCTTGCCTCCAAGGAGCTTGACAAGTATAAAGAGAGGAAGAAAGCAGAAGAAGAGAAGAAAAGAAGCTGATGAAGTAGGAGCAAGTCGGACAACGATGAAAAGGAAACATAAATCTCTGGATTGTAGTACTTGCCACAAGACTGGTCACAACAAAAGGACTTGCAAAACTAAAGATGTGCAGCCTGAAACTACTACTTCTGTTCGTGATAAACTACCTGTACTATCTTGTAACATCATTTTTGAATTATTTCATCATTTAATCAACTTAGCTAATATAAAGTATATATAAATATTTATATATATTGTGCTTTCAGGTTAGACGGAGATGTTTAGAAGTTCAACAACAAAATATGAAACAGAGAGAAGTAGGACAAGGAGAAGAAATGAAATCGTATTGGGAAAATTCACAACAAACCCAACAAAGTGGAGTTACATTATAAATAATACAACTTTTTTTGGGTAAAAAAAAATGGATCATTGTGTGCTTTTCTCAAGTTTAAACTATATTTTGCTATTTTTTCAGTTTCCTTTCTTTTTTGGTGTAGTTTCTGCGCAAACCTGGTGATGTTTGGTGCATTTTGGAGTCTATTTTTGGAGCTTTTCTTGTGCAGCTTTGGAGTCTATTTTTGGAGCTTTTCTCGTGCAGCTTTGGAGTCTATTTTTGGAGCTTTTCTCGTGCAGTTTTGGAGTCTGTTTTCGGAGCTTATCTTGTGCCTTTTGGAGATGTTTAGCTGCTGTTATGGTGATTTTTCATTGCTGTTTTTGGTGCAGTTCTGGTGCAGTTTTAGTGCTTTCTGGTGGTGGTGTTGAAGCCAGTTTAATGTCGATTTAGAGGCTATTGTTATCGATAAAAATATATATAAGAAGATTAAAATTATATAAATATATATGGTAATTGATGTTAAAATAAATTTTATATCTATTTAAATGATATTAATATGCAGTTTATTTTGAATATGTTTATTGTCTCATCTGATCTTCCTTTATTAATGATTTGTTGGTTTTTGTTGATCTTTATCGTTGATTTGATTATTTTATCATGTCTAAACAAAATACTAATTTATATAAAATTAAATCTTAATCGATTTTTAAATTCTTAATCATCAGGATAACCAACATTATTTGAAAGATGTAAAATCAAAATTTTAATTGATTACAAAACCTTTAAAATTACGAAATAATTAAATTATAATTTTCTCATAGAAAATTATTTTTAAACGATAAAAAACCAATCAACATTCAAATTAGGATTTCATAGTTTTATAAGAGTGTATATTTTTTTTAATCAAAAATAAAATAAAATAGTGTACATTAGATAATGATAGACTAAAGAAATTGAATGGAACAAATAATAAGAACACTCGATTAATTGGAATTTTTTCAAAAAAATATGTCGTACTTTTTTTTCTTTGGTATCCTTTTTAACTTGTCAATATCTTTGTCTTTGTCGTCAAATATAGTTAAATTTAATATTGTCCAAAAAATTGGTCAATCATATTATTTTAATTAGATAGCATATATTTGAACTCATTATAAAATTAAATTAAGATGGTGTACAAAATTTAAATTCATTTTATTTTTGGAAATATTAAGCTTTAAAATTAGGATGATGTATAAATTCAAACTCATTCTTAACTTTTTTGAAATATTAAGAAAAGTAATGTGCGTTTTTAGTCCTCCTACTAACAGAGCACAAATAATAGGTTTTAAAAACGGTATTTTTTGTCCCTATATTAAAGCTAATTTCTTATTTTAGTCGTTGTGTTATCTAACTTATCACTATTGACCTTCAACTAACAGATCCGAAAAAGTTAACAGAGATTTTACTGCTAAAAAGAATATCTCGTTCTTCGGTGTATGAGGGAGGGTTAACGCCTATCAAGTTGGTTTTGTTGAAATTGTAGCTCAGATTGATGAGCTTGTTCTTCAAGATAGAAACATGGAAGACTTAGCTTATTTTTCAAAAGAGGGAATTAAAATGAAATATTCAAACTATTCCTTTTAGCAGTGAACCCTCTGTTAATCTTTTTTGAATTTGTTAGTTGAAGGATCAAAATCACTCACTTGATATAATTGAAGGTTAATACTGCTGAGTTGGATTACACAAGGATTAAAATAAGAATATAGTATTAACACAGGGACTAAAACTGCCGTTTCCCAAAACAATATAACAAATTATTAAACACTTCAAAGGACGATTTGGGTGTTAACAATTTAATTGCAATTGTACTCCATGAATTCCTCTTGTATTTTTTTTGTGGTTACTGGTTTGTTATCAATGATTAAACACAATATGTTGAAAACTAATATAACTAAATGCTCACAATTGACTTTGAATTTGTTATTATCGATGCTTATACATAATCAAGTCGTACCTTTTTTCAGAAAATAAAATCATGGCTAGGTAATTGTATTTTTTTTTTTGACATCTAAAGTCTATTATCATCTTGTGAAGCTTTTTTCGAGTCCAACAATTGTTCGGTTGATACTTCTTCATTATTGTGATTCTTTCATTCCTCAAACGTAATTTTGTTAAATCAAGCAATAATCACAACTAGTTACAGTTAAGTAACACTAATCTAATAGTAATTTGTGAACAATGTGATGATATAGAAGATGGTGGGGGTAAGTCGAGAATTGTAGACCACAAGCCCTCGTTGCAAATGCTTCAAAATTTTGTGTATCTAAATAGAAGTAACAAAAAAAGAAAGTCTCACAAATAACATTTTGATACCCCACCATTTCCCTTGCCCACAATAGCCCCCATCCTCGCACACCTATGACACTCTCACCTCCCATAGTATACAGACAATCCGATACACTAAATTTTCACTAGGCATGACATCAAGAAAAGAATCGAATCACAAGGATCTATTGTACGCAATCTATCTTTGCATTTTCGGTAAGAGTAAGGTGTTGACTCCTTCAATGGAGATTCTGAGACTTATGCGTCAGAGAAAAAGGAAAACCAACAGTGTAAAATAAAATGTATTTTGTATTGAATTGATCTCTATCTAAGCATCATACTAATATATATACATTACTTCATACACCTGTACATCTACATGACTTAGCTACAAGAATATGCTATAACTAACTTATACTCCTAACCAACTATTATGCTACGTTAGCTGACTACTTGACTAATTACTAACTAACTGTTGTTGTATTCAATACTCCCCTCAAGCTGTATGGTGCAAATAAGTTGTGTACACTCAATTTGGATAATAGGAAATCAGGTTGAGTCCTCCCTAAACTCTTTGTCAATATGTCAGCCAGTTGCATCCTCGAAGGAACATGATCTGTCTGAATAAAAAGGCCTTCTTGTATTTTTTTCGAATAAAATGTCAATCTCTATATGCTTTGTTCTTTCATGATATGTACGATTAGCAGCAATTTGAAGTGCTGCTTTGCTATCACAAAACAATTTAACTGGTAACTCCAGCTCTACCTTCAACTCTTTGTACATGCCTATTAACCAGACAACCTTTACTACAACATTAGCCATACTTCTCTATTCTGCCTCAGCAGAGCTTCTTTACACACTGTACTATTTCTCTGAATTCTACAAAGTCAAAGAGTCTCTGATTTTATACAACAAAACCACTTACAAATCTCCTTGTTATAGGACATGTTGCCCAGTCAACATCACAATAAACTGAAAGTTGTTTAGATACCTTTGATGTCAGCATAACTCCAAATCCTGGTGCATTCTTCAAGTACTTGATTACTCTCAATGCACCCTCCATGTGTGACTTCTTAGGCTTGTGCATAAATTGGCTAAGATTCTGCACTGCGTAACTAATGTCTGGCCTTGTCATGGTGAGGTACAGTAGTTTACCAACTAGTTTCTAATTGCGTGTAGGATCACTAAGAGCCACATCTTCATGTGTATCCTGAGCTTCACTGTTCATGTCAAAATCCTAACTTGTGAACTTTTGATTAACTTCCAAAGGAGTACTGATTGGCTTGATCCATACAAGACCAAAATCTGAGATAAGATCTAAAGCGAATTTCCTTTGACTCACCATAATACCATCCTTGTTCCTTGCAATTTCAAGACCAAGGAAGTATCTCATCTCCCCCAAGTCCTTGATCTTGAAATCTGTCTGAAGCATAAGCTTTGTGGCCAGAAATAACTGAGCACAAGAACCAATGATCAAAAGATCATCCACATAAACTAGAATGAGAACCAAATCAGAACCAGAACTTTTATTGAACAGGGAGTAATCATGATGACTCTGGATGAAACCAAAACCTATAATAGCCTCACAAAGCTTTAAATTCCACTGTCGAGAATCCTGCTTTAAACCGAAGTTTAGAAACTTTGGATAACTCCCCTTAACTAAACAAACAAGGAGGAGGAACCATGTACACCTCTTCAACCAAGTCATACTGAAGGAAAGCATTAAAGACATCCATTTGGTGCAAAACCCAACCATGCATGGCAACCATAGAAAGAACAAACCCAACAATCACCTTAACAACAGGAGAAAAAGTCTCTGATAGTCACCTTCTTGTTGTGTGTACCCTTTAGCTACTAGTCGAGCTTTTTACCTCTCTACCTCACCTTGAGCATTGAAATTCACCTTATAAACCTACTTACACCCTATTGGCTTCTTCCCGGGGGAAAAGTAATCCCAAGTATGATTGTCATGTAAATCCTGCAATTCTTGTTCCATGGCTTGAAGCCAATATGTATTCTATATAGCCTCATTATAAGAAGTAGGTTCTTGTATAACAGAGAAATTGCACAAGGAGTGAAAGTAAGAAGGGGATATGGAGGCATAAGACATATATGTAGATAAAGGATGAGCAGTGGAACAAGTTTGAGAGTGTGTAGGGTTGTGAGAAGCGGTATGGGCAAAACCATGTAACCAGCCAGGAGGCTTAGAGGATCTAGTTGACCTCCTAAGATTGCTCTCAATGGTGGTAGGAGAGAAGATTAAGTAGAAGATGAGATATCTGAATTAGGAGATATACTTAAGGAAGGAGAGATAATAGACACCTCAGGCAATACCATGGAACTATGATGATCATCATAAACAAACATATCAGAACTATCAATAAAAGAAGGATCAAGAATCTCAATCTGAATATGACTGAAAGGGTATTTATCTTCTCTAAAGATGACATCTCTACTAACAAAAAAATGATTTAGTGGATAAATTATATAGCCTATACCCATTTTGTGTGGTAGAATAACCCATAAACACAGACTTAACAGATCTTGTGTCAAATTTATCACCATTGGTATTGTGGTTAACAACATAACATAATCAACACACAACTCTAAGATGTTGTAAAGAAGGTTCTCTTCCAAAAACCACAGCAAAAGGAGATTTTCCGGATAATGCAGTGGATGGTATTCTATTGATCAAATAGGCAGCATTTTGAACACAGAGACCCCAAAATCTGATAGGTAAATGAACTTGAATTCTAATAGCCGTGGAATCCTCCAAAATCTTTCTGTGTCTCCTTTCCACGACCCCCATTTTGTTGGGGTGTGTGGGCATAAGAGCTTTGATGAACAATGACTGCTGTTCTAAACAAATCACTACAATGTGAGTTAAATAATTTTGAACCATTATCACTTCTGAACACCTTGATAAAACCAACAAATTGTCTTTGTATTAGTAAAAGAAAATCTTTCAATACAATGAATATATCACTTTTGAATTTTAGGAGGAAGATCCATACCATTCTACTAAAATCATCGACTAAAGTAAGAAAATATCTATTTCCATCATAAGTATGGACCCCAAACATAACCATGAATCAAGTCAAACACATAATTGGATATATTATAACTTTGAGGAAAAGGCAACCTAGTTTGCTTAACCAAAGGACAAACTGTGCAAGGTGACAATTTAAAGGAATAGGAGCTATGTGGTATCTGCATTTGCTGGAGGATCTCGTGAGGAATATTCCTAACCATCTATGCCATAAGTTAAAAGTGTTCATTATGCTCAAAAAGTGTTCATTATGCTCAAAAATGCAGCTGAGGGAGCAACAGTAGAAGAAAAACCGTGTGACCAGTAGTATAAACGATTTTCCAGACTACCAGTCCCCTTCACCTCCCCAGTGTGAAGGACCTGCAATATACAACAATCAGGATAAAATATGATACAATAATGCAATTCTCTATTCAGTTTAGAAACTGATAACAAATTGTAGTTAAATTCTGGAATAGATAAAACATGAAAATATCTCCTTGAGTCAATTTAGATTTCCCACTGAAAGCAATAGGTGTTTGTTGGCCATTAGGCAAGTGAACTTTATTAAATTCAGTTGGAGGCATAGGTTGTGTTAGGGTAGATGTCATATGATTTGTTGCACCTGTGTCAACTATCCATCTATGACCAGATGAATTATGTACTACTGAGCAGTTAACAATACCTATAGTATCAGGTGAAGGGGAGCTATACGAACTAGAGTGATTGCCTGTGAAATCCATGTTGATGTCACTACCTCCATGACTGTGTGCCTGTATTTCCACATCCATGAGTACACATGTCAGCAGTAACATTAAATCTTGAAGATCCAGATGCATGAGATCCATGAAATCCAATATGACCATGATTGTGAGCTCCCATGTGACTGTTATCTCCAACAGACCTGTTAATGTCACTTGCAGGGTTATGATTGTGAGAAAATGACAAATTCCCATAATAAGGTCCTGCATTAGGGCCACCATACTCAGAATTAATCACAAGTGAATTATATATAATTATGAGTTAAAACATTGTGTTGCACGTTATTTCCTTCTTTCATGTTTCCTTTATACCAAGGAGGCTATCCTATAAGCTGAAAGTAATCACTCTTCATATGACCTTTTGTATTGCAATGATCACAAAAGGCATTTGGAGATTTGTATCGGGGCTTTAGTGGATGCTTAGCAATCCAAAGAGCCGTGATATCATTTTCCTCAGTTATAGCTTTCGTTACCAAAGAATTACGATCCATATCAAACCTTTCACTCTCTTCTTCAACATCATTGCATATGCCTAATTGACGTAGGTTCAAAAGTTTTCATGAGAATTTGCCTCCTAGCCTACGAGTGTGATTCATTTAATCCTCCAAGGAATTGAACCAGTCGTTGTTGTTGCAAATGCTCAACATAATCCTTTGACTTTGGACAATCACAACTCGAGAATATCACCATTGCATCATCTTCAGTCCTCAGTTTCTTCAATTTTGTAAAATAAATCGAAACAATATCGACCCCTTGTGCAATCATAACAATCTCTCGATGTAGATGGTAAATCCTTACATGAATGACCTTATCAAATCGTTCCTTCATATCCTCCCAAACTAGTGACACATCAGAAGCATACACGATGCCACATAAGAGAATGGGAGCTACAGTGTTCATAAGCCATGAGAGAGCAATTGCATTACAGGTATCCCATTGATCATGATACTTAGTCTCGAAACTCGCCCTCTTACAGGTTCCTATCACAAAACCTATCTTCCTCTTTGCTTGCAGAGCAATTCGACATGTATCTCCACCATAACCCATAACTTTTCGATCTTGTCAACTTAACGAGACAAATCACAAATCCTGGAGTATCCGATGGATGCAAGTAGAGAGGATGTGTGTAAGGAATAACGAATTTAGTTACCATTGTTGTTGATTCATTCCCTTGCTCTACCATGTTGACTCCTTGAATGGACATTCTGAGACTTACGTGTGAGAAAAAAAGGAAAACCAACAGTGTAATATAAAAGTGTACTTTGTATTGAATTGATCTCTATCTGAACATCATACTAATATATATACATTTGCTTGCATACAATTGTACATCTACATGACTTAGCTACTAGAATCTGTTATAACTAACTTATACTCCTAACCAACTATTATGCTACGTTAGCTGACTAGTTGACTAATTACTAACTAACTATTGTTGTCTTCAACATAAGGTTACACTACCTAAATTATATCCATAATTTTTTAAAAAAAGAAGTAAATAAACACTTCTCCCCATACCAAACACATGCCTAGTGTAAATGTCCAATGAAAATAAATATTTACCTACAAATCAAGGAGCAGGAATACTAGTATGAGATCATAAAATAATAAAATGTTAGTTGGTGGCATGGCAATAATCGTTAGTAAGAGTATTTTCAAAAAAAATTTTAAGAAATATTTTTTCAATTATACTTCAATTTAATTAGTATATTATCAAAAAAAAAAGATTTTTTTATTCAAGCCAGACATGTTTCCATTTATATGCCTGTTTGAGCAAAAATATTTTTAGAAAAAGCTTTTTAGAAATATTTTTTAATTCTACTTCAATTTAATTAATATAAAATTTTTATGAAATTGTGGGAATTAATAGTCTAATTTTTAAGATGCAAATTTAACACTTTTTTTATAAAATAAACTGGAGTAGAGATTATAATGTGAAAATAGAACCATTCACCAACTAAGTTAGATTTTAGGTAACCAACCAATAAGCTATGCTAAGGTAGTGCATTCAAATCTTCAAATTGAAAAAAAACATGGGTAATTAATGTGAGCATGAGAAAAGTTCGAAGAAGTTAAAAATTGTTTTGAAAGGTTTTCATTGTTATAATTGTTATTGTTACTGCTGCTGTTGTTATAATTGTTAGGGAAAATGCACAAGTACTCTTAGATTATGAATGAAATTTCAGAGACACACCTTAATTAAACTAAAACTTTATTAGAATTTTTTTTTTTTGTAATTTTGTGCACCTTTTGTCTTACTAAACATAAAAATGTCATAAAGGACATGTATGAAGGAGCCATCACTAGCATGAGAACTATAATAGGAGTAACAAAGGAGTTTTCTCCATTATTGTGGTTTACAGTAGGAATCGGCATTTAGCCTGTACTTGTTTATTCCTTGTGGTGGATGAGCTAACCAACGCAACACAACACAAGATGAGATCCCATGATACCTTGATGATCAGAGGTGTTAAAGTAGCCGAGGTAGACGTAAAATTATTTGGAAGTGTAATCATATCAGATGGAATAAGATGTCTTATTCCAATAGGTAGGCAATGTATAAATACAATAGATTTTGTGCAAACTTATGAAAGAAATTGTTAAGTTGAACAATACAATTAATTAGTTGGTTTGTTAAAAGTTTGTTAGTTAGTTTTAAAGATAGTTTCTAATTAATTCTAGTTAGTTGGAAAGATGTATATAAATAGTAGAATATCTTGTGTAAATGACCAAGTCGGTTAATACTTTTTTTTCCTCACTGTTTCTTCCATTCTTTTCTTCATCTCACAATTATTCTTTCAACTGCCATAACAATGGCAAGGTAGCTATCACTCAACATGGTATCAGAGCCACCAATACTCTAGCTGCTAGAGAGAGTTTTTTTTGTTGTTCTGCATCATTCAAATTGGACGAACAGTGGAATACCGACGTCGGAGATAATCGGAAACTATGGTGGATGCAATTAGGTCATCGGAGGTGCAAGACAACTCCAATCGAGAACAGATCGAAAAATTCACTGATATACATCCAAGGAATCCTTTATATCTTCATCCATCTGATACTCCAGGTAGCATTTTAATCCCTCAACAACTTACTGGTATAGAAAATTATACTGGGTGGAGTAATTCTATGAGAGTAGCATTGTTAGCTAAGAATAAAATTGGATTTATTGATGATACTTGTTGTAAACATCACTACAAAGGAGATCTGAATCATGAATGGGAGAGATGTAATGCTTTTGTGCTATCGTGGATCACAAACTCTGTTTCGAAGGAATTAGCAAATGGCTTAATGTTTTCATCAAATGCCCATAATGTTTGGAAGGATCTGAAAGAGAGGTTTGACAAACGTAATCTCACTAGAATATACCAGGTTCATCGCGAAATCAGTACAATGAGTCAAGGAACTTTTACAGTTTCTGAGTATTATTCCAAATTGAGAAATCTTTGGGATGAGTATGGATCATTGGTTCCTTTACCTGCTTGTGAATGTGATAAGTACAAGGTATATGCAGAACATATGGAAAACCAGAAGCTGATGCAGTTTCTAATGGGACTCAATGATAATTTTGCCCAATCAAGGAGTCAGATTCTTATGACTGTTCCAAGTCCTAGTTTAAACCAAGCTTATAATCTGATAATGCAGGATGAGAGTCAAAAGGTGCAATCTGTTTTGATATTGAATTGTGTTCTACCTGTACAGAAGCTTAATATCCTTGAGACTACTACTACTGCTACTGCTTTAGCCTCCTTACAGAATAATAAGTTCAAGCCAGAAGCTGGGGGATTGTATTGTGACTATTGCCATTTTAAAAACCATACGAAAGCTAACTGTTACAAGTTGATCGGCTATCCTCCAAACTACAAGTTTCAGAAGAAAAGAGATGTGAATGATAGGAGCTTCAGGGGTCAGAATTTTGAGAATGATAGAGTGCATGGGACCAATCGAAGAACTCAAGCAAATTTTGTGAACTGTGCTGAAAATGATCATGAAATAGGGGGACAACTTGGTGCTCCTGACATTTCTTCATTTCAAGCAGCACCAAATTTCACTCCTGAACAATATAATCATATACTGAAAATGATTGATAAAGACTCGTCTTCTCAGAATGTTGTTGCCAACATGGCAGGTATAGCTCATGAAGCCTCCTCTACATTTAGTACATTCAATGCTTGTTTTCCTACAGGTCATGATACAGTTCCTTGGGTTGTGGATACTGGAGCAACTCATCACATGGTTTCTAGCTTGGATGTTCTTTTTAGTCCAAATATGGTTTCATCTGAGTCCAGCAATGTCCATTTACCAAATGGTCAAACCACTATTGTTACTCACAGAGGTTCTGCCACACTATTTGACACCAATGACCTGCATGATGTCTTATATCTCCCTCACTTTTCTTATAATCTCTTGTCAATCTCTAAACTCACTAAAGAACTAAATTGTTGTGTTTGTTTCTATCCCAATTTTTGTCTTTTCCAGGACCTTTGCAATGGCAAGGTGAGGGGGATTGGTAAGGAAGAAGGAGGTATCTACATACTTCCATCTACCAAAAGGCCATCACTTGCCACTGTTGATCCTTCACCACCGGTTGCTACTGTTTTTCAGTCAACTGCTTCATCTACATCTAATCCATCTATGTCCAATCCATCTGATATATCTCTTTGGCATCTCAGACTTGGGCATGCTCCTGCCACTGTACTCAACAAAATTGATTTTTTGAAGCCTCACCTTCAAAATAGTATTTTTCATTCTTGTTCCATATGTCCTCTTGCAAGGCAAACTAGATTTCCTTTTCCTCATAGTGTTACAAAAACTGTATCTCCTTTTGAACTTCTTCACATGGATGTTTGGGGACCTTATAAACAATGTACTTATAATGGTCATAGATTTTTTCTTACCATTGTTGATGACTATTCAAGAATGACTTGGATTTTCTTGTTGAGATTTAAAACTCAATTCTCAGCTTCTGTCAAGAGTGTTAGATCAGACAATGGTCTTGAATTTGTTAACAACCAATGCAGTACTCTTTTCTCTTCCCTTGGGATAATTCATCAAACTTCTTGTATACACACACCCCAACAGAATGGTATTGCTGAACGAAAGCATAGACACCTTCTTGAAATAGCTAGAGCCATTAGATTTCAGGCACATATACCTCTGAAATTTTGGGGAGAATGTGTACTTACAGCCACTTTTCTCATAAATAGACTTCCTTCTTGTGTTTTAGGTGGGAAATCTCCTTATGAATTGTTTCACAAACAAGCTCCTAAACTCAATCATTTGAGAGTTTTTGGTTGCTTGAGTTATGCTACCAATTCTGTCACTTCTGATAAATTTTCTCCTAAGGCTATTCCTTCTGTGTTCATGGGATATTCAGACACACAAAAGGGATACAAGTTGTATAACATTGCTTCTGACACCTTTTTTGTGAGTAGAGATGTTCTTTTCAGAGAAACTGTTTTCCCTTTCAAACATCCCAAACACACCTTCTTGGACTCTATCCCTCCTTCTCATACTTCCTCTTTCCCATCATTTTCAGGTGGTTATCCACATCCTGCAGATGATATTTTTCCTTCTCCCACTGCTTCACCTTCTTCTGCATCAATCCCTTTTGACTTTCCTTCTCATACTCTTGAAGTTTCACACATTATACCTTCATCTGTTCCTACACATTCTACATCCAATACTTCTATTACTACTTCATCACCTAGAAAGTCTTCTAGAACAGTTAGGCCCCCCATTTGGCATACTGATTATGTCACCACTTCTAAAACTCCTCATTCTATCTCTAATTTCCTGAACTACACCTCCATACATCCACATTATTATGCTTACCTTTCAACCTTTTCTTCTTTCCCTTCTGAACCCTCTTCCTTTGATCAAGCTGCACAACATAGTGGTTGGATCCAGGCTATGAATCTTGAAATTCAGGCTCTCACTGACAACCACACCTGGGGAATTGTTGACTTACCTGCAGGTAAACATCCCATTGGGTGTAGGTGGGTGTACAAAGTCAAGTATAAGGCTGATGGTAGTGTTGAGAGGCT